AGACCTGCCTCTTTAGGACAGCGCTAACGGAACTGTAGACTTCATCTGAGAGATGGCCATAACTTGCCCCGAATACGCGCGTGTGACTTACCTGCAACAGAAAATAAGGGTCTATATGAACATCCTAGACAAAATACTGCAGGGCAACGTTTTGTTATGGCGTTGTAACTAGAAATGCTCTTACATACACTATTTGATATTCTAGTGATAAGCCGTAGCGTTTAAGAACAGACGACCTACACGTAACGTCAGTTATACGACTTTAATAGTTACACGAACAATACGAGGCAGTTTCTGTCAGTTGTCCCTTACTTTTTTTTACGTTGGAAAAAATTGATTTATACAATAGTCAGGCACTCCAATATTCATTTTATTATAGATGTCTCTTTGACAAGCTTCGCTTCCGGAATCGTCAATACCGTAGCTCTTCGATACAACTAGGGCACGATCGAAAGCATCAATGGAGCCACCTGAACCAGTTACTTCTACGAAGTACTCGCTTCGTACTTAGCGGCTTCGTATACACACGTGGACTTTAGTTACAGAAATGAGCAAATTTCCTCTGTGACAGTAGCAGGTGCTTATCTTAGCAAAAATACCATTTTTTATGACCCTTACTACCTGTGCGCTGTTATGTTAAGGACCCACAAGGTTTACCTCTCAGAGTCATTTTAATTACGTCACGATATAGCACTGTGAAGGCCGAGAACAACCCTTAACAGAATCGCAGAACCATCAACTCTACTAATGTATACGCTTCTTAAACATAGGCGAATAATTTCGTTACTTTCAAATGAGAATTGATAACGACGAGCAGACTCAACGAGGATGTCTCTTTCTGAATCATATATTTCTACAAGCGAGAAAAATAATCGATCGATCTTCATGTCGTCTGGGTCTGGTACTTGCTTACACAGTGATCAGTTGTGGGGTTGTTTCGCCGCTCTCTTTCATTGTCGGCCGAAACAGTGAATCATCGCCACCCTCTAAGGTTTGTTGACACCATTCTTCAGTCCGTAGAAGTATTATTCAAGTGTGACATAACAGAGAAATCTGTCTCTTATTCAAGACGAAGATTCAACGTGAATGTGGCATCAATGCAAAAACAGTCAAGACAGAGCCTCTAGAAACCACCTCCCCTTACGTCTCGCTAATATCTGATGCAAATACGAATGATTTATAAAGATTATTTTTCGTGCCACTATAGACAAAACGAACGCGACTTTGGAACGTGATCTATCGGACGACAAGATTCGAATCTTCGTGAGACCGGGGCAATTCCCTAGATTTCAGACGGCATCAATAGCAGAAACGAACCAGCAACCGATGTGACTCTGTCGAGCCGGTTTTTCCGAGAGTACAGCGCCGCTACTCGACACTAAACTATTTGGCTTCCATTTCTAGAATTTGTATTCTGGTATTTTTGGTGGCTACATACAGAAGGCTAGCCGGACCTAGCTTACTGACGAAATTATGCAAAGCTTTCACCACAGCGGAATCAGACGACATGTGCGCTATCATTATCTATCAGAAGTAAAGTGATTCACCGAGCTGGCTACTGTGTTTGTTCTACCAGGAGATAATGAGTTCGACTGAAGGCTTCGGCCGGAGGATAGATACTATCTCCAAAAAGTACTAGACAAACGGTCGCAAAATTTATTTATAGCTTGTATATTTATGGTGTATCATATGTCTTATAGTCCCCGTTGAGAGTCTTCGTAGTTCACTCATGCATCATTCGAAACGTCCCTTCACGTTTAGATCTATAATGAGGTATGTTACACTAATAACACTCAGAGCGGCGTCACATCTTGCTCGATAGTGAATTGGCGGTCGCGCGAACAGCCAGACGTATGCTCCATTCAGCAGCGATAACAACGTCAGTGCAGCCGGACTCTCTGGTACGATGTGCAATAGACATGTGGCGCGATTTTGCAAATGTTGCATATAGATTGTCGCGGTCAACTCAGGCTCTCCTGCTATCCTTACTATTGTATCGCCAAGCAGGAACGTGCCTGTTTAATATAGCGCAGCGTAACTAACAACAAAAACCATAGAGGACGCTCGCATACCTATAAAGAGGGAGGCAGTGTCACCTGGGTTGCAGGTACATGTGCGCTACCCTCTGAGTGCATCCCCATACTGAACACGAGCAACTAGCATGTCAAGCACTTTTTCGTTCGAAGCACAACGTCAAAAAATCATGACGAAACGTTAATGAAGAAGAAAAGGAAAAATGAAAAAAAAAACGTCATAGCTGTATCGACCGCCAATGTAGTTACCAAGTGACCTCATAAATCAGTTGGAGCAACCCCAGATAAGCCCCGGAAAGGCCCTCACAGCAATCTCTGAGGCAACATGATTCAGAAAATTTGTCCTCATAGACCGATAGCTGAAAATCACTTAGGAATCGCCCCAGCCATTGAATGGCTCCCTGCTGTATACTATGGTAGCTGGAACTAATCAAACATCAAACGCAGATAGAAGGGCTTCAACATAATGATGAAACGAAAGTCGATTATCTTTCCCATTTCATACATTGCATTTCGTTGTACGCTCGCATGTAACTTGTAACAATGACAACAACGAAAACAACGACAATGGCAGTAGGAGCACGCTAAAACATGACCGATCACTAAAACTTTGCCGGCTTTCATAGACAACAGAGTTGGCAAGTATGTATGCTGCCGCAATCGTACACAGCTGCAGTTGAGTCATTTTCAACCGAAGGTCTTGGAGAAACGTTTGTTTTCTTTAATCGTTTAGCCACCTCACTTTGTGGAGTCGATGCGACGAGTGACCATTGCAGTATTGTGTAGAACGGTAGAATGGCCAACAATTTTTACCGTCAAAAAAGTAACAAGATAAATTTTGCCACCACTATGCCACCGCTGAATGTGAAGGGTCCATATCAGCAAATTTGCGATGCACAACGACCGAGATAGGAAAAGGCCGCAGATCCGTCGAGTCTGAGCTTTTCTCCTCTCGTAAAACAGCAGGAGCACAACCAAGTAGTGCAACGTCAGAGCAAACCACGTCGGTTATCGCGACGCCTATTGATTGATGTTATAAAACAAGCACTGGTCGTGTGAACAAAACAGTTTTCCGCTGCTCGCGATAAGTGGCTAGCTAGGACGTATGTATACTCACTAGCTGCGTAAAGACCCAACGGTAGCCCCAGAGCCCGAACGTCTTGCCACAACATATGCTCCAGACTAGGCGATCACTGGATAACGGCCGAAGAAGGTGGCTGATTCACAACAACTCAGAACTTACAACATTCATCTACATTTGTTAGCCTTTCAGACGCTCGGTACCCACTCCCTCGATCTTTCAGCGGCTGTTAAACGAGGCGAGACCGTCCCCAAGACTAAGGCCCAGCCTGTTCTGCTCGCCAGGACAAAATCATAGCCTTCTCCTCCACGATCCGCATCACGTTACGAAAACACATTTACATATGAGATTAAGGCATTATCTCTGAAGCTGAGACTCTTTGTTTTGATCTCATAATAGGGTAACGGCTAAAGCACCAAATATCAACACCTACTATATTTCTGTATAATACCTAATGCGGACAGTATCAGAATTCACAGCAAAAAACCACAAGGGGCCATAAACGGCCAAAAAGACCATCAGAAGACGATCGCCGAAAAACAACTATTAAAAGGGCTGGATGGTTTTTGTATGTCAAGTTTTAAGGCCTTTGTTCTAAGGATTAACAACAAATTAGAGTCGCCCATCGTTAAAGGCGACACGTTCTCGGAAGCCAATTGCTGATAAACTAATTTAAATAAATAGCCATGATATTCTAAACAACTCCGACGTATTGAAACCTGTGTCAGCGACCGATGATAGAGGCAATTGTTCTACGAATATATAGTTGTTGATGAGAGGCTAGCAGGTTGAGCCAATTTTGAGACTTGACTGGTTTACGTATCATGCGAAACAATCATTTCTCGAAAAATCTAAAATAATAACATAGAATAAAAACGAAAAAGGAGAGGATATATCCGTCATGACAGTTTATTTCGTCCATAATAAATCGTCATTTGTTGAACCAAACGTTAACATATGGCTATTGGTATTGCCAATTCATATAATTAGATCGCATTGATTGATTGATGCACCGGCAGCAAAATCAATAAATTGCATTGTAACTAAATGCGGATAAACGGGAGACCTCTCGTTTCTTCCCTACGGGATGCATTTTATTTTATTGACACTTTTTACCGTCCCTGAAAACGTCAAAAAAAATTACGCAAATGGAATACCGAAAATTCTTATTAAGCGTGATAACTGCCCCTGTATTTACTACGCCGCTCCCTAAGTCTGTTGGAGAAATGCGAGATAAGTTCACCAGACCCACTCCGGTTAGACTACTAAGGTCGAGAAATCCTTGACGCAACACGTAAAAAAGATAATTCCGCGAGTTTGTTAACGTAACAATAATGGCTGAAAGTGCTTGAAAAAATGCTGCGGATACAGGAAGCCTCTAGACATACATGACAGACAACAGTAGGTAGCAGGATTCGAAATATCCAGGGGCAAATCGCATTCTCAATAACAGAATGACATTTAGCTCCTTCTATAATAACGTTTGACAGGACAGAAATCTGGGTTGTTCCAACGAATTCATTAATAAATTCGAACTCAACGAAAGGGTGATACCCAACTATGTCGGCTGGCTTTGATTTACTGTAAATCTATATGATTTCATTTTACAACTATAATTTCACGCCTATTATTATTATTAAATACATATACACTTAAGTGTGTTTATCGGCGCTTTGGAAAAATAATAGCAACAGTAAACAATAAGCTGTTTGTTTCTTAAGTAAACCCTATTCGCAATAGACAGCTACTTCAAACGCCGCTGATCTTAGAGCAAATCTAACATCTGAACTTCTAGCCTAAAGATGATAATTTTCCTTCCGTGTGAAAAAATTTTCTTAGCTAGAGCGTGCGTGCGTATGGCATAAATAACATTACTTCATTTTCAGTGGTTCCGTGCGATAGTAAATGGCGTTTGTTAGCTGCGGCGGCCCATTTGATAACCGTATTGGCAGACTCATAGCTCAACCGTTACGAAGACGTCCCAGCAGACAAGCGAACGACGACATTATCTAGTTCATATACTGTATATATATCTAAAAGCAAAAATGAAGCTCCACTTTACTAGGAAGAAATGTGTGAACTTACAAATAAAATCAGCATCTAGAGCCTTTATGTATATCAATAGTATATATATATACTAAATTAGGATATATAAATATTTATAAACAATTAGACGAACGTTTTTTTTTTGCTTAATTAACTAATTTACTAACACCTGGGATGCGGTTGCATTCACTAGCCTTGTACGTCACATTACCCTTGGGTCTATACAACAACAAACAAAAAGCTGAATAACCACAAGGATAAAAGCAATAAAAATACTTTGATGAACGGCACCAGTGTCAATAGCGACCCAACTTGATCGACCCAGCTTTTCAGCGCCCCGTTCTTCGGTAAGAATCAGCGAGATCTTTATTGCCTTCAGTTTCTTACCACCGTCCCTTTTTCGTTCTTAATACCTTCGTCTTGTTCTTGTCGGTGTCAAAAGCAACAGGGGTGAACAGTTGGGATATACCGAGATGCTGCGTCCGTCGGGTCACAACGTAACGGGGGCAAAATAAGGTGGAATCGAAACACAAAAGCAAGCCGGGTTTAGATGTAATGTACCGGTGGGAATTTCCATTTAGCTACTGTTATCACTTTATGGCAGCTGAGTGATAGCGTGCACTCTGTTGTTGGCTCGTATTTGTTCAACGCATACTGATACGCTCTCATCGGGAACGCCAATTTAATAGAACCCAGCAGTTGAGGTCTTCGGGTACTCTTGGGCCGCTTTAGCGTTCCTGACCCAGTGCCTCGTTTGTTATTGTCAATGCCACTGTTGTCATGGGGTGATTAAATCGCATCAGAAACCTTCGAACCCGGTTCTCTCCTTGCACCACTCGCTCGCGAACATTGCTTGTGTCTGACATTGCTCTGCTGCGCAAGTGATAGACGTCACTGACGCTCAGGGAAAATGACAGACTGATATAAATACATCACTAACAAAAATAACCATAATCACTGACTAGCGAATGATCATTATTAGGCTTTCGTGGGAAAAGAATGGAGAATAGAAAACGATTTAGCAACAAATACACAGTCAAGGCTCAACGGTAAGAAGGTACCGTACTTTGGCAACTTTCTCAAGTAGCCTTTACGCATTTTAAACGAGAGAGACTGAATTGTGCTTTTAGATACTTCGTTTTCATTATACTCTATAATCAGGCCTCATTTGGTCAACTAAGATAATTGCATTGATAAGTGAATCTTGACTCTTCGAACCTAGCATGACGTTCTTACCCGTTGTTTATTACTTTAGCTCTTACATTTCTCAATGTCAAATTAACTTTGCATCTTTTCCTTTCTTTAGAAACAGACACTTTTCTTTTAATGGTATTTCCTGGTAGATGGTAATCTTAGTAGTGACAGCGTAACGATGTGACACGATGGTGGTAGGGCGGTTGAGGCCGAATTTACAATTTATCGGAACCGAATTGTCCCGTCACAGCAGCACCGTCCTTCTCCACGGAGGCTTTGATCAACGATCAGGACAAACAAGATCCAGTCAATTCGTTTACTTTCTAAGATGCGTGGCAGCTGTAGGACTGTTGACGCTGCTGCTGTTACCATATCTGGTGCTGTTTTATTTTAAGAAACGATTTCTCAACCATTCGTCCCCCTTTACCGGGTGCCACGATCATATAATCCTAAAGCAAACACGAATAGACCATCTGGGCTAGTCAGGCCGAAGTGGATGAGAGACTAGGCTACACAGTATCTTTGTCGTTTAGCTATGCCGGCTCTGTCGTCGCTACGCCATGTGAGAGGAACCCTCTCCAGGCGATTTCCCGCCATCGTTCTTTGAGCTCTCTGAGCTTTACAGTGTACGAAAGCCCTACATTGTCATCATCTCGTTTTCCTCTTTCCGAACCGCACTTTCCTCTGTTTGGACAATATCCTCTTCCCCTTGCTTTTCTTCTCTCTCTATTTATCTATGTGTGTTTCAGTCAAATCTGCATCGAGATCAGTAGTCACTAGGCAGCAATCGAAAAGGTGCACTACTTGTGCAACTCAGTGATAAAAGCTCAATGTAACCTAGTCTGGGAAAAACCCGCGGCACGCGTAACTTTCCCCCTCCGAATACTACAAGCCCACATTATTTGACCACTCACCTACAAACACAAAAAGCCATTCACCGCAGCGCACGAGATGAACGTTCGCACCTCCTGCTTAAATGTGCATGCTGTTGAGAGATTACAGGGCTCGTCAGGGATTTTATTCATCATAAGGATATTTGCCCGTCGATTATTGTAGAGGTGATGGTGGTGGCATAGCATCTACGATCACTTGAAGCAAAGAGTTCGTTTACTTACGGCATTCCCCAGTCTGGATAAAGACATTGGAAGTCGAAGCAATCAAAATTATTTCTGTCTATCATTTTCGGATGAAGCGAAACGTGGCCCACCATTGTGGCGTGACTGCCGTCTTGATCTGTGCCAGCCTCCTACCGCAGTCGTCCTTTCCAAGTCACCAGTTCAACTGCCTCCACCAATATTACTACCGCGACTGCTCGAACTAATCAAGTATCAACCCGTTGATCACAGCACAACTAAAGTGCTTGGTCCTTTAAGCCTAAGATAGCTGTTAGGTATACATCGGGTGGCTGATCTTCCAGCACTACCACTATGCCTAGCCCCATTGACTAAGACACGCCTTACATGCCAACGTTTTTAAGCAAACAAGCTACCGTCGAACAACTTCGAAAACTTTTTTTGTGATAACAGTACCGGGAAGTTCATCATTACTGACATTCCATACCTGTTCCTGCCTAGAAATAATGAATCTCGTGTTAACAAATGGTCAACGTGGATGAAAGCGCAAAGATGTTGTGGGGTTCAATCTGACTGGCCAGGCTGTGTCTCAATTCAGTCGTACTTGCTTTCAGATCAATGGCATCATTACTTTTCGCATTAAATGTCTCGAACTTTGCTTTCAGAACCAATGTCAAATATCGCATCGCTACTAGTAAATATTTCAAGTTTTACGGCTATCGCATCGCTTCTAGTATAGCTGCTATTCGTAAAAGAGTTTGCTGTCTAGGAGCTGCTGCCGAAAAGACTACGCAAAATAGATACAAAAAGGCCATTCATTTAGGCCCTCAGACAAGCCGGTCGGAAACTCCGCCACAAGTGCGCGGTCAGAACGGAGTTCGCCGGCGGTAGAGTCCCGGTTGCTGCTTCTGGGTGAGCATAATGTAACGGAACAACTGGCCTTCCTATCGCAGCCATTGTCTGCCACGCTGGTTTGCCGTAGACTTCACGAGAGGGTTCCTTTAAGCATTTCACTGTTCGCCCGTCGTCCGTCAAATGTCAAATGTTTCTTCGTGTTCAGAAACGGCGATGCATATGAAGCCACGTCAGGCGGGATGGACATACAGTCATTTTTACTAAAATAAAGAGCCTCACCAAAGACTATAGTTCTTTTTTGTCTGAGCTATAGACAGAGTAAAAAAGTAGACACTACAAAGAAGGATTCTCAAAACCTGCTTTGTCAAGTCTTAAGTACAATTGAATAACCAAACCTGAAAATCCCTTGCATAAGCTAAGAGCAATGCTCTCTCCATGTCGGCCATCATGAACTGTGCAAGAACAAACGACGTACCTCAGTTTTGCTCCTTCAATAGGTATAAATGTAACAAAATGAGGTTAGGTTCACTGTTATAACGGGTACGATTAGTCTACTACCGAATTTCTGTTAGTTTTTGTCGTCGTAATCATTTCTCAGACTGTTTTGTTATGGATCACTGCTGTTTCAACTATATTGCCATCGCTGGGTTTTATGGCCAAGTTGTCTTGTTTGTATAGCAATCTCATCTGAAAGGCGTTCTCTATGCTTTATAATAAATAGCATTTTAGACGAAGTAGTAGCTTGGTAGTAAGAAAGAGGCACACTTTTTGCAGCATTCACTCCCGCAGCCATCTACCTCTCAGGTACACACGACAGAAACTCTGAATGGCTGTACCCATTTACTATGCCTTATCGAAACGCCTTACGCGGAGGCAATTAAGTTGATTCCTGGCAGCTATAGCTGACACAGTTTGTGACTGCGCCTGTACTCGTAAAAGTCTTCTAGCCATAGCATTTCTATTTTTGGTTTTGTCGACGCTGGCGGCACCGCGGCTACTGCACCATCGGCGATGTGCTACAGGCGAGAGACAGCGGGCGGACCTTCGAATTCCATTTCAGGTCTTGGAGTCCGGCTCGAAAGAGAGACGGAGGGAGGCCCAAGAAGACACGTGTCTTTTCAAATATACCGCCATTAACACTGCTAACCATCCAACAGCAAACGCTAGGGCCAGGCTCTAGTTGCCAATCTGCTAGCAACGGAAGGATACGCAAAGGATTTCATCTGTCCCCCTTTAACTGTTGACTAGTTAAGCCTTGACCCGACAACAACGAGTCGACAAAACAATCAGGCGGATAACAATACGTCGTGAGCAGAAGCGCTTCTTACGGATGCTGCACTGCTATGCTCATCTCGCTAAGACTCCAAAAGACAATAGCCGCGCTGCTCCCACTGGTGGAGCTGGCACTAAGGAACTGGTTCGTACGCAAAGGAAACGGGGGCAGGTATGTGGAACAGGCCAACTGGTCTTATCAGAATGGTTGTTGCCGAGGGACAGGCCTGGAAGTACAGAAGTGCGATATTGTAAGAAGTAGAACGGCCCAGAACGATCAATTGGAAATAAGAGATAGAGGGAACAAAGCGAGGCCGTATGACGATCTCAGAACGTGCCTTTCTTGGACCCTAAATAGGACAATTTCTGCCTGCTTGATGATTTTAGGCAACGGCCTATGCGCCTGTGCCAAGCAAAGACCTCGGTACGTTCAAGAACTTCATTCGGCAGGTCAGTGTTTCAGATGAAATTAGAGCAAACTTAGTTATAGGTTTGGAACAAAGCTTGGTCTCAATAGTCTGCCTACACAGCGAAGCTTCGTATCAAGTAATATCTACGTGGATTGGATAAAACGCTAAACCCTTAAATGTAACGGTATATGATGATATCAGTCTGCCTTTTCTT